TAGCTAGGATCGTGGGCTCGTTAGTTGAACGCCAAGTCGTGTGGATCATGCTGTTAGTGGCCAGCATGGTGGACCGGCTATGCATGCGTGCGTGAGGTTACTTAAAGACTTGTAAGCTGGTTGCTTTGGTAAGGAGAATACAAGTGAGAAAAGGGCTGTACGTGCGGCCGGAAAAAAAAATCTGTGCTTCTTCTACCTTCGTCCAGAGCTAGAGGGCTGCGGCAACGACAATCCTGGTGGATTCGGTGTGCTGGCGCGTGATGATTTCTGTGTTCTCCGAACAAGCGCGTTCAAGTATGTATGTGCGGCGCGGGCGCATCGACATGAAAAGTGACAGCGCCACCGGCACCGAGCACCACCGACACAGCCGGCCCTAGACAAGACTAGGTGGAGACTCAACTATGAAGGAAGGCAGTGTGAGTGTGTGAGTGAGGCCACAAATGGAAACACAACTTATTGCCTGCCGTTGGCCTAGGCTTTAAACCCAGCCTTATCAGCATGAGAAAAGGGATATGCTGAACGAGCGGTGAGTACGCCGGTGATCGTCCATCTCACCCTCACGGTGCTGCCGCTGCTGTCTTCTTTTGTGTGAAATATTTTGCAGTCGCTGGCGACGGTGGCCGGTGGTGGTGGTTCCCACCATTTGTGAACCAAATAATGCTAGCTCCAACCGCGCCTGTGTGTTTGTCCTGGTTTCCAAATAAGAATCTCATACGAGCTCAGGATGTCAGCTTTGGCTCTGGAGTGCATATACTCTCTGATTTTCTTGTATAGACCTTCTTGTTAGCGTAACAAGTGCGCTTGAAAAGTTTCATGCGAAATGAGATAGCAATGCTTCGTCCATGAAAAATAACATTAAATATAACATTTGGAGATAACATTCTTTTTTTTACACAGGTCAAAATTCGTAAGCTTTCCCTTCAAAAACTTGCAAGTAGCATTTGAATTTGACAAGAAACCCATCAATTTTTTTGAGAAAAAATAGCATTTGCCAAAAAAAAATTAGTGCGCAGAAGCATATCCTCTCAAAAACCTAATTTGTCACTCATACATTACTAGTTAAGGGGTATCCGACATGCTGCGTCCCCACTTTCACAATTTCTGTACGTGGGACTAAGACGAGGCGCAGCATATATCGACGAGTCTCTATCGACTTTTTATTTTCAAACGAAAACGGTTGGCCCCACTGCTCCAACTTTCATTAAAGGTGAGGTAATCGATCGACTTTATTTCATGATTATATAGTCCGAGTGTCACAACACATAGTAGGCAATTGATTATTGTACACTAGGAGTACTCCCTCTTTTCAATCTTTAGTTCCACAAGGAAAACATGTATTATGTTTAGAAATATATATTTTTAGATTTATCGATGAATGAAGTTTCTAACCATACAATTTTGTGGCATATTATACATGATTTATTAGTCATATCAAAGACCTAAAAATTCATGTCCAACTTACAAACCCTATTGAAGAGAGTTCCTAGTAACGCACTCAAGCTGCGGGATTGATAGGACCCGGCCACTAACTTTTTTTTTTGAAGCACCCGGCCACTAACTTGAAATAGTGAGCATCCCTATCTGGATGTCATTCGGACGGCTCCTCCTTCTCCTCCACAAAAAGGTAGGGTTTTTGCCTCCCGTCGCCACCGCCGCAGGTCCGCCTCCTCTCCGATGGCCTTAGGGCCATGGGGGCGCAGTGGATCTCGGCAAGGGTCGGCGGGAGGGCTCCGATTTTAATCGTTTCTTCAGTTTTGCTAGGGTTTGTGTCCTGCTCAGGAAGACGAGACGGCGGCGGCTCCCTGAAGATGGAATAAAAGTCTCCCCGCCTAGCCCCCGTTCCGGCGATGCGTCTAGCATCGTTGGTGGGCGTGTGAAGGTGTGTCTCCGGCGGATCTATCTTTGGTGGATTTGCTCGGATCTCGTCGTTGTTCGTCTACGTTCATGTGTCTTCGGATTGGATTTTTTTGATCTACGTTATTCTTCATCTGCGGTGGTTGCTGTTCTGGTGCGCTGGTCCTACGGGGCCTTAGCACGACGACTACCCGACTGTCTACTACAACAAATTGTGCCTGACTCCGGTGATGGAGGGGCGATGACGGCGGCGCGCCTTCGGTTCGCTTCAGTGCTGGTAGTTGTCGCTAGGTGGTCTACGGATCTGGATGTGATTTCTATTATTTCTGGTATTCGTTGTACTGCCATGATTGAAGATAAATAGATCGGAAATTTTCTCGGAAAAAAAAGGATGTCATTCAGACAATTAATGTTCCCGACAGCTTAAACCAGTACCTTTTCTAGTTCAATGAACTCGACGATACCTCGCGCGTTACTACAGTACTTTGAATGAACTAGATGATACCGCATCTTGGGTTTCCCTCGAGCACTCAATCGAAGAGACACGAGCTATAGTGACCACACCTCTATCAAGGCAACGGCGCCTTTGGGTGTCACTGTCGTCGCCCTGACAATGATTTGGTGGAACCGAAAGCCTAGCTGGTCCACCCACGCATCACGGCTACCACTTCGCCGGCACGGACTCCAGGACCGACGCCACCGACCATCGTCCTAGGGCCGTCGCCCTAGATTCCAACCCTCGTTGCTGACAGTGGGCTCCCTTGTCATCACGCCGCATACTTTGCCACCGCGACCTACTAGCCAAGCCAAATCCAGCCACCACCTACACATGCACAACTACCGCAGCCCGGCCATTGCCCACCGGTGCTGAAAGCGCCAACATGGATCCGCCAAGCACCACCCTCACTATCTCACGCCGCAGCCCAGCCTGCAGATCACCTGCACCCATGACCCCTCTTGTAGCTGCTGAGCATCGCCCACCTTCGCGTCGCACATCACACCACCGCGACCACTGAGGGTGGAGAAGCCAGATCCGGCCGAGCCCGACCAGGATCCGACCGCTCTCGACGCCGATGACTTCCCCGCAGCTTGCCCACGCTTCCAAGAAGATATAGCCACCACGCACCAGCCGCCGGAGAAAGAAGCCGCCTCGCCACCATC